CAGGAAGTAGGAGGGTGCTCCCATGATGCTCTAGTTTGCAGACTCGCCAAGCTTGATACAAGAATCATGAGCCCATGAACTTAAAGAGAAACTTAAGAAAAACAAGCACCAGAAAATAAACAGTAGTGGAAAACCTGCTTCCAATACTATCAGCAAAATAGCTTAAAAGATCAGTGGATGTATGGTCCCTATAAAAATATGTGTAGTCAAATATGACAGGGTGCAGCCATACCATCCGTGCTAAAGCAAAGGAAATCTACTGTTCAGGTAGGTACCAATCAAACTATTTATCTTCAGCTATCAGGGATGGTATGTTGGGATACACCAAAGCTAATCTTCTTCTTTGGAGATCAATCGTAGTCGAGTAAAATTGTCTTCCATGAAAAATAGGGTAGGTCCCTGGACTGCATCCAGCTGTGCAATGTTCTATGGAAGGACCTGCTGAATGGCATATGAAATTATTTGGCGAAGCCCATGCAGTCACTTCACAAACATCAGGAAGAGGCCTATTAGCAGTGAAAGCTGAAGAAGCAGCAGCCATCATGGAATGAGTAGTCAGTCTCAAAGGTGCTGGTATCTTTAACACCTCATAAGCCATCCATTTAGACAAAGTGTGCACACAAACCTTTCTACCCAGAGGTGCTGGATGGAAAGACACAAAAAGAGAATCTGCTTGTATGAGCAATTGGTTCTGGCTATGTACATTTTAATGGCTCTCCGTACATCCAAGAGATGTACCATGATCAATTAGATCCATTAGATCCTCAAAGATGAAGCTGAGGGAGGAGAGGAAAAACACTCAAGATGAAAGTCTGAATACAAGACAGAAGAAAGATCAATAGCAACTAGCCTGAGAAGATTACACAGGTGCCAACAGTGATCATAATTGAATTCATCATAACAAAGGCAGGAAATGAGCTAGAGCATCATAGGAGCCTCAGTCTGTTTCCAAAACCTTCTTTCCTGCCCTGAGGCATAATCCAACACACATCCCCTGCTATTTGGAGGGAACTTTTCCAGCCTAAATAATATAAACAGAGTACCGATTAAAGAAGGGCTCTGTGTTCAGTGAAATGTAGTGATGATCTACAGGATAACTAGTAAGTCACACTCAGTGCAAAAGGGGGGCTGTTTTAAAGCCTGTTTCAACAAAATGTAAGCGTGGGCAGGTTTGAGGCATCCAAGTGGCAGGCTCTGTTCCTGACTTTATTAAAACACTTACAGAGAGCATCCGCTTACACTGTTATATGTGCAGAGTCTTCTATCTAGGCCAGAGGTCAGTAATATGGCACCCATAGGGGCACCTGCACCCACAGAGACCTTCCCTGGTGCCCACAGGATCCTCTCCCCCAATGAAATTCAGCATGAAATAAGCTTTCTATTGTAGCAAATAAAATAGGTTGTAGTGTGCAAATATGCACATGGGTCCAAAGGACTGCTGAACCCTGGTCTATGCTATCAGGAACACTGCTTTTCAGTTATGCCCAAATGCCCAGAGAGAATCCTAAGACTTCCTAAGATGTACAGCTACATGCAGGGCAGCATTCTACAGAAATCTCATGAAAGTGCAGAAGTTCAGAGGTAGACGGACTACTTGAAAAGTATTTGTGAAGATCAGACAACATTTGTAGGTTTGCAAGAAGTTTTGTGAGGAGTATTATTGGAAGTACTGCAAAAATGGAGAAGGGGAAGGATGATTTGTTAAGAGATGTAAAAGCAATATAAAATTAAGAAATGCATAAGAAGTGGTTAAAACGGTGGATCATGAGAGGTGCTGATGGAAGTCTAAAAAGATTGTATAAGTGATAAGTTTTGTGGTACGTTTTATAATTTATGTGTGTGTATGTATATATATATATGTATATGTGTGTGTGTGTGTGTGTGTGTGTATGTATATATATATATATATATATATATATATATATATATATATGAAGTTCAGAGGTAGAACCTGCCACCACAATACCAGACTTTACAGACTTTTACAAGTCTGTAAAAGGTTATAATGGACCACAAACCCATGGCGTTGTGTATTTTCAAAAAATAAGAGAAGCTAGAGTATGTATGGGAAACTTAACATTAAAAGAGGGTACTCATTCTGCAATTAAAAGAAATGTTTTCTTAAGAGTTGCACAGCGCATCTTGCACATAAAAGATAAAGGTAAAAGGTAAAGAACCCCTGGACTGTTAAGTCCAGTCAACGGTGACTATGGAGTGCAGCGCTCATCTCGTTTCAGGCCAAGGGAGCTGGCGTTCGTCCGCAGACAGCATTTGCGGGTCATGTGGCCAACATGACTAAACCACTACTGGCACACGGAAGACCATGACGAGTGCCAGAGCGCACAGAAACAGTGCTTACCTTCCTGTTGCAGCAGGAACTATTTATCTACTTGCACTGGTATGCTTTCAAACTGCTAAGTTCGCAGAAGTTGGGACACAACAGCGGGAGCTCACCCTGTCACATGGATTCAAACCGCCAACCTTACGACTGGCAAGCCCAAGAGGCTCAGTGGTTTAGACCTTCTCTTTCACATATACCATGGACTGGAAAGTTGTGCCTGTCTCTTTGTGAATATATTTCCATCCAGAATAATTCATCCATTATTCTTCTTGGAACTCTTACATTTGCTTTACATAACATTATCTTCATGATGTTTTATAATACCCTTCTACCATATGTTAAATATTAGTTCAAGATTTTGATAATAAATCTCTCCATTATCCACAGAAGTTTATAAAGCAAATACCTATTTCAGCATCGTACACAAATTAAAACGTGTATTAAGTGTTTTATGGATTGAATCATTCTACTCAAGAGTCATCACTCATCAACAGAACTGTTTATTATCTTTTAGCTGGAGATAAAAATCCCTGGTCTACTGTACATAAGCACTGCAAAATAAACAAAATCCAGTCTTAAATTGCCAGCTCAACTTCTACAAGTCACAACAAGCATGTTTCTAACATTCAAAGAAGTTAAATCTTTTCAGACTTTAATATGGCACATAAAGCTGCTTCAGTTCATCCTAGCAATAGATTATATTAGGCTAATTTTGTCATATGTGTATGGCAAGATAGCCATCAGATGGGCAACTGATGTTTCTTCTGCATTTCTGGAGAGAAAATATTAAGACACTTTACATTGCCAGGAGTTATGACTGAACAGTCATACCACCAATGTTTTAACTAACTTCCAGCAGTGCTTTTGCAAAACTTAATTCATTCAGCTGAATGTGTTGGGAGAGACGAAATGCTTTTGGAAACCTCAGTTAATATTTGAAGGCACTGGGCAAAAGGCAAGCAGTTATAATAGCAAAAGACAGAAAGTTTGTGACAAGGAGTTAGATTAATGCCAACATTGTACATTTACCTTTTGAACAGATAGTGAACACATTACACATCTCACGACACATTAAGCCATAAGCTATAATAAAATGTGTTTTTTCACCAACTGGCAGCATGCTAATGCATACTGCTCCATTCTAAGTTTTAATTTATATATTTTTTAACTGTTGCTATATCTCTATTGTCCCTGTTATACCTAACTGCAAATTCAAATGTATCCCTATTGTGTTTTATGACTTCCTTGATACTGTATGTAGGCTGGAACTACATACTGCTCCATTGTGCCTCTTTTGCTCCTCCCCGCACCTCCTTTTCCTCAGCCAGACTCCTTTCCCTTATTTCTTCTCAGCATTGCAAGACAACCAGCACTTGTGGTTTGTTTCTCTTCAAACAAATCACAAGCGGAAACCAAAGTGGCCAAGCCAACATCCTGGTTTGTTTCCTCCCAACTGCAGAAAAGGAGGGAAAGGGGAGGATTGAAGAGAGCATGATTGAGCAGCGTGCGCCAACACACTTTTTTGCTTGCGGTAAACCATAGTTTATTTTTAACCATGGCATAACAAGATGTGCAAACCAGGCCAATGCTTTATGACATCATTTTTAAAAATATACCCTTTACAACCGTTAACTCCTGGCTATAAATCTATATGACTATCATAGAACTGGCTCCAAATGGCTCTGGGTTTGACTGATGTGCCCTTAATGAAAAGTGTTCTATAGTTCTAAAATATATTTTAATTTTTCCAGTTATCCTACGTGAAATGTTATGTGAATGACTTAAATAAAAATGAAATCACACTTAAAACTTATATTTAGTTCCATAATATAGCATGAAGTAAGCACAGTATTTATAACTAATATTACTAATAAAGGCAATCCAGAGGTCGTAAGCCATCTTGCAGAAGAGATCTGTGAGTTCATGAAATTTTCTGCCCAAGGGCAGACATGTTGTCAGGGAAAACTAGCTCAAGTACACATGTGAATCTCATCTGCACAAACCACAAGAATGTAGCCAACATCTACATGGACAACTTCCTTTCCCAAGGTTTTAACTCCAACATTCTTTTGTAGAATCCATAACATAACTGATTTTAAGTGCGTATTTATTGATAACAATTTACATATCTAGAGGGAAAACAGAACATGCTTTAAACAGAAAGGAAAATTAAACATACTTTTCATAGTTCCGTCTTCATCTTCATCATCATCATCATCACTGTTTATCACCATGGTCCCCAAATCGGATTCAAGCATGGTGCTATTATGTTCAATCATTGTCTGAGCACTGTCACTCATAGTACTTGTGGCTCTCATTGTGCCGGCACTTTCTGAATTTGTCTTCACCATGGTATGGGAGTCCAGCTCATCTTCATCCTGTAAAAATGTTTAAATAGAAATTACTTCCAAACACATACTGATCTTGAGGACAAAAGAATTTCCAATCACACACTCTGAATGCCTTAGTTCTTTCTTCACATCATGGCTTGTCACATTTAAATTCTGGGTGATACCCAACTAAGTCCTGCTTAGAATAGACTCATGGAAATCAATGGACTTGTGCTCTATAACACTGTGAAACACTGTAACATTTCTTGTTTCTCATATTGAATTTTGGGGCATGTCAGACTTAAGATTTATGGTCATTTTCATGGATAGGAGAAGGGCTGTAGCTCAGTGGTAGAGCATCTGCTTTGCATGCAGACGGTCCCAGGTCCAAACCCCAGCATCTCCAGGAAAGACAAGGAGAGAATGCCGTCTAGAATCATAGAGAGATGTTGCCTATAACTGTAGACAGTGCTGAGCTAGATGGACCAATGCTTTGACTTGGTATGTGGCAGATTCCAATGTTCATCATTTCCATTCTTCTCCTTCCTCATCCCCACTCCACAACTTGAAGCCAAATAAATGTTTAGTTGTTTTGCTTGGTACACCTTTTAATTCTCACTTTCTCTCTCTCAACTATTAAAGGAGCTCAGAGCAGCAAACACACAAGCAGTAAAAAACCTAAAAACCATTCCAGTACAGATGCAGTAGGGAAAGATCTCTACTTAAAAGGCTTGTCACTTCTCCAACATTGTTGCTCCTTCCTCATTGCTCCTCAATAAATTAGGCTTGGTTAAATGTTACACGGGACACGGGTGACGCTGTGGGTTAAACCACAGAGCCTAGGACTTGCCGAGCGGAAGGTCGGCGGTTCGAATCCCCGCGACGGGGTGAGCTCCCGTTGCTCAGTCCCTGCTCCTGCCAACCTAGCAGTTTGAAAGCACGTCAAAGTGCAAATAGATAAATAGGTACCGCTCCGGCAGGAAGGTAAACGGCGTTTCCGTGCGCTGCTCTGGTTCGCCAGAAGCGGCTTAGTCATGCTGGCCAGATGACCCAGAAGCTGTATGCTGGCTCCCTCGGTCAATAAAGCGAGATGAGTGCCGCAACCCCAGAGTCGGCCACGACTGGACCTAATGGTCAGGAGTCCCTTTACCTTTACTTTAAATGTTACACAGAGAGAACTAACATGGTAGTTGGGGACAACAAGCAACGTTAAGGAAAAATTTAACGCTTTCCCCTTTTTTGTAATAGCTACCTGAAGTATAACCTACAAGGATTTTTAAAAAATATGTCATGTTTTCCACTGTATTTTATTGTCCTATCTACCTAGATAATTCTTCAAAACTTTCCCTAGTAAGCACCAAAGCACACTTGGTTATGCCCCACACTGCCCTGCAGCCCCCAGTGCATCCTCAAAAGGGGGAGCCCCCAGGTGCAGATCGGGGGGAGTACAGTGGTACCTCGGGTTACATACGCTTCAGGTTACACACTCCGCTAACCCAGAAATAGTGCTTCAGGTCAAGAACTTTGCTTCAGGATAAGAACAGAAATCGGGCTCCGGCGGCACGGCAGCAGCAGGAGGCCCCATTAGCTAAAGTGGTGCTTCAGGTTAAGAACAGTTTCAGGTCAAGAACGGACCTCCGGAACGAATTAAATACTAAACCCAAGGTACCACTGTACTTGATACTGTTAGGATATTTCCGTTCCACCTTAAAAGGGAGCAGGCTTTGTGAGTCAGAGTCTGCGTATTTCCTGTTCACAGGATGTTTATGTTTTCTGTTGCTTTCGTTTTCTCTCTGGTGTCGCAGACACTAAAGCAGTCGGTCATGTTTTTCTGTGTTCTGATCAACGCTGAATAAACTTGTAAATAATGCTCTCCTGGGTGCAACTTTTGCTGTGACTATCTGCTGATAGAGTGTGCATGAGCTCTAGAAAATATCTTGCCACTTGCCAAGGTTTCGGGCCCAGATTCACAGCACTTACAGGAGAGTAAGACTGCGACAGACTGCTGAAAGGTATGTGGAGGAAAAGCGAAAGTAAGGCTTTTCTGTTTGCCGCGGCAAGAGCTTTGATGTCCGGCAGGCCTAATTGGTCTGGGCGTCGAGCCCAGCAGGCCTCAAGATTTATGAGCTGCTAAGATAAGACGTCTTTGAAGGCATAAAGGCTCAAGGCTCAGGTAAACAGCTGGAATGGAGTTTTTCCAAGCTTCTGAGGCTGAGTGCCCAAAGTTAAATCGGCACAACTATCAGACCTGGGCAAAATGGTGTGAGAGTTTGCTGCGTCAGTTTGGAGTGTGGCATACTGTGTCTGAGGCCCCTCCAGTTCCTCTGACAGAAAGATGGGAGTCCGAAAATTTGAGGGCGATAGACGTAATCGTCTTGTCCGTCTCTCTGGAGGAAATAAAACGCTAGCTGGCAATCTGACTGCACGAAAGATGTGGCATGCTTTGAAGATAGCCCATCTGCCAGTCATCCCAGCCCAGAGTTTGACTGCATCGGAGGTCCTGGCTGTTTCCCAGAATGCGAGTGAATGCAGGGATGCCGAGGGCACCGGTTGCAAGCTGCAGGGGAGCTGACTGTCACGTCATCCCAGGCAGCATTCCAGCCTCCAGGGGAGCCAAGGAGTCGGCAGCTGAGAGCTCTGTTTCTCATGGGAGCCAAGGTCATCGCCTTTGCAGAGGCCGGAAGGGCAAAGGTAAACAGAGGCAGACGCCTGCAGATGGCCAGAAGCAGAGGGAGGGTGAAGAGCCCACGCCAGTGGAAAACAAGGTTATGTTTGCTGGCACAGCCTCACCAAAGGCTAAAGGCAAGTCTGATGGCCAGGAGCAGGGGGGCAAGCTGCAAAAGCCCACGCCGGTGGAAAACAAGGTTTTGCTTGCTGCAAAGGCTGCTCCAAAAGCCAAGGCCAGGTTTGTTGTTGATTCGGGCTGTACCCGCCATATCTCAAAGGACCGCCACCTATTTATCTCCTTCACGCCTCAAGATGGTGAGATCCACCTGGCTGATGGAAAGACGTTGCGAATCGCAGGAGAAGGGACTGTGAGACTGGCAAGTCTGCACACTACCATCAAAGATGTACTGTATGTTCCAGGTGCTGCAGACAATTTGCTCAGTGTCCCACAGCTTACTGGGCGTGGTTTTGAGATTTCCTTCAAGAGGAGCGTCTGTGTCATCAGAAAAGGCAAAGAGGACATTTTGCATGCAAAGTTTATGGATGGCTTGTTCTGTATAACTTATGATGACATTGGTGCTGTTGTGTCTAATGTTGATTCTTGTTGTGTTGCACAAACTAACAAAGTTCTTCATGCAGGATGCATTCACGATGCACATCGAAGGTTTTGCCACATGTCTTGGAAGGCACTGGCCAAGATGCCAGAGATGGTTGAGGGTTTGAACATCAAACCCTGTAAGTTTCACATGAAATGTGTATCTTGTGCAGAGAACAAGGTGAAGGTTGCTCCAAAAGGCAAGGAGTCTAGCAGGCAGGCTTCCAAACCCTACCAGCTAGTGCACGCAGACCTGGCTGGTCCACTTGCGCCCTCTTTGGGTGGAGCAAGGTACTTCATGGTTCTAATTGATTCCTTTTCCAGGTACATTCATGTGTTTATGCTCGAGCAGAAATCGCAAGCGTTTCCTAAGTTCAAGGCATTCTGTGCTTGGTTGGACAATGTTCATGGTAAACGCATTGGCTGTCTGTTTACTGATCGAGGCAGGGAGTTCACTTCTCAGCAGTTTGAAGCTTTCCTGACTGAGAAGGGAATCCAGCATAGCCTCTCAAGTCCTGGATCTCCATGGGAGATTTGTGAGCAAGCAAAGCAAACGTTGCTGCAAGGACTGAAAACATTGTTGCATGATGCCAATCTCCCTGAGAAGTTTTGGGGGGAGTCTTTGAACTCGTTTGTTTACACTTTTAATCGCAGGTTGTCATCACCTATTGGTTGTACTCCCTATGAGAAGATGTTTGGTAAGAAACCCAACATCAAGCACATGAGAATTTTTGGTTCTGACATGTGGGTACACACCCCACAGAGCAACAAGCTTGGGAAGCGTGGGGCACATGGTTTGTTCATGGGGTACGAAAAAGGTTCATACAGGGTATGGATGACTGACTCTAAGTCCATTAAGTTCACAAGGAGTGTTGAGTACAATCCTAAGTGGGGGGAAAATGTGGGAATTTTCCAGAGTTACCCAGAGGAGGATGAAGGTGATGTCAAAGAAGCAGCTAAAGCTGAGGAAGCTGCTGAGGATGATGATGATGATGATGATGATCAGAGTTCGGATTCCAGTTCAGTGGGTGGCGCTGCTGCTGGTGTCAGTGACAGTGATGACACAGCAGACTACAAGAGCGCAAAGGCCTCAGTCAGACCATCTGATGCGTCTGACAATGAACTGGAAGAACCACTGTTCACCATTGGTCACTTTTCTCCTAAGAAGGAGGAGATGAGTCCAGAAGACTTGCGTCTAGTACGCAGATCTGAGAGAGCGACCAAGGGCAGACCTCCAAAGAGATTTGCTGATGAGTTTGCTAAGACAGCAACTGCTGTTCTTAGTAGCTCAGAGAAGGTATGGGAACCTTCAAGCTTCAAAGAGGTTCAGGAGTTAACCTCTAAAGATGCTGAGCCTTGGCTTAATGCCATGAAGGCTGAAGTTGATTCCTTGAATAGGAACCAAACTTGGGAACTGGTACCGGTAGTCCCAGGAATGAGACTGGTTGGCAGTAAATGGGTCTTCAAGGCCAAGACAGACCAGAATGGCAAGGTTGTCAGACACAAAGCCAGATTGGTTGCCAGAGGTTTTTCACAGGTACCAGGACAGGATTACCACGAGACCTACTCACCCACCGTCAAATATGAGAGCATTCGGCTGATGCTCAAGATAGCTGCAGAGGAGAAACTGCATGTTTCCCATCATGACATTAATACAGCTTTTTTGTACGGGCTTTTGGAGGAGGAGCTGTTTATGCTTCCACCTGATGGGATGCAGATACAGAAGGGAATGGTCTGTAAACTGCAGAAATCCTTATATGGTCTCAAGCAGAGTGCCAGGTGTTGGAACGCAAAGCTCACTGAGACATTGCTTTCTCTAGGTTTTCACCAGGGCAAAGCTGATCCATGTGTGTTTGTCAAGGAGGAGGGGCAAAACAAACTGAAAGAATCAGGCTTTCTACCAAAGCACCCTAGCTCAGCTGAAGGAGCACTTTGACATGAAGGATCTTGGTGAGGTATCCAACTATCTTTCTCTGCAGGTGGAGAAGGACCAAGCAGGTAATTTTCTGGTACACCAAACACAGAAAATTGCTGATGTATTAACCAGGTTGAATTTGGTTGATGCAAACCCAGCAGACACACCGATGGTGACAGGTTACCAGGTAGACAGTACTGCTGAAGCGTTTTCTGACACAACGCTGTAC